CCCGGGTTCGGTTCCCGCTAAGGGCACGTACCTCGGTTGCAGTTTGTCCCCGGCCCTGGTTGAGTCTTGTGGGTGGCAATCACTCGATGTGTCTCTCTCATGTCGATGTTTTTCTCTCTCTCTCTCTCTCCCTCCCACTCTATCTGAACAAAATATGGAAAAAAATGTCCATGGGTGAGGATTTAAAAAAATAATAATAAAATAAAATAAAGGACCTATTCACAGAAAACTACAGGTCATTGAAAAAAGTAATAGAGAAAGATTTTTATTTAAAAAATGGAGGCACATACCTTGTTCATGAATTGGAAGAATTAATATCATTAAAATGTCCATACTACCCAAAGCAATCGATAGATTCAATGCAATCCCCATCAAAATACCAACGACATCATTCACAGAATTAGAACAAATACTTCAAAAGGTCACATGGAACCAAAAAAGACCTTGAATAGCCACAGCAATCTTGAAAAAGAAGAACAAATTACGAGGCATCACAACCAGATTTCAGGTTATACTACAAAGCCACTGTAATCAAAACAGCCTAATACTGGCACAAGAACAGGCATATAGACCAGTGGAACAGAACAGAGAACCCAGAAATGGACCCAAGGCAATATGCTCAATTAATATTTGACAAAGGAGGCAAGAGCATACAGTGGAGTAAAGACAGCCTCCTTAGTAAATGGTGTTGGGAAAATTGGACAGCTACATGCAAAAAAATGAAATTAGACCATCAACTTACACCATACACAAGAATAAACTCAAAATGGATAAAAGACTTAAATGTGGCTCATGAATCCATTAAAATCCTAAAAGAAACTGTAGGCAACAAGATTTTGGACATCATGCACAGCAGATTTTTCACTGATACATCACCTAAGGTAACAGAAATAAAGAAGAAAATGAACACATGGGACTACATCAAACTCAAAAGCTTCTGCACAACAAAAGATACAATCATCAAAATGGAAAGGCAACCCACTGTATGGGAGAGCATAATTGCCAATGATATATCAGATAAGGGGTTAATTTCCAATATATATAGAGAGTGTTCATACAACTCAACAAAAGGAAGACAAAGAATCCAATTAAAAAGTGGGCAGAGGAACTAAATAGACACCTCTCCAAACAGGACATACAAATGGCCAAGAGGCATATAAAGAAATGCTCAACATCACTAATCATCAGAGAGATGCAAATTAAAACAACAAGGAGGTATCACCTCACACCTGTCAGAATGGTCACCATCAACAAATCATCAAACAACAAGTGTTGGCAAGGGTGTGGAGAAAAGGGGACTCTAGTACACTGCTGGTGGGAATGCAGACTGGTGCAGCCTCTATGGACAACAATATGGTGTTACCTCAAAAATTAAAAATTGAACTTCCATTTGACCCAGTGATCCCAGTTCTAGGAATATACCCTAAGAAGCCTGAAACACCAATCAGAAAGAATATGTGTACCCCCATGTTTGTAGCAGCACTATTTACAATAGCTAAGATCTGGAAACAGCCCAAGTGTCCATCAGTAGACAAAGGGATAAAAAAGCTGTGGTACATATCCACAACGGAATACTATGCAGCTGTAAGAAGGAAAGATCTCTTATTCTTTGAGATGACATGGAAGGACCTGGAAAGTATCATCCTAAGCAAAACAAGCCAAACAAAAAAAGACAAGTATCATATGATCTCACTTATTTGTGGAATATAATGAACATAACAGTCTGAGGAATGGGGTAGTCACAGAGACGTGGGAGTGGGGTACAGACTGACAATCCCCAGTAGAGGGGTTGGTGGGGGAGAGATAAACCACAGAACTTATATGCATGTGTGCATGAACAATGGACATGGACAACAAAGCTGGGAACAGGGCAGGGAGTGTGTGTGGGGGGACTCAGTGGGGGGGGAAAGGAGAAACATCTGTAACAAAAATAAATTAATTAATTTTAAAAAATGATAATAAAAAAATGCAGACATGACAGAAAAATATGTTAATTCATACTTCAGTGCCTTTAAGATGATTATCAATGAATAATCTGAAATCAAGCCAATTTCATTTTCTCTTTGATTAAATTGTTTTTTTTTTTAATTTTTCAATAATTTCAAAAATTAACTCCATGTTAAAATTTTTAATAACCAGGAAAGGAAGGCTACAGTAGTATTGAATAATGGACTTTTAAGGACATGGGGACAATCCTTACAATGTAGGGTTAAGTGTAGATAAAATAAAATTGTAGCCCTAGCCAGTTTGGCTCAGTGGTTGGAGCATCAGCCTGCGGACCAGAAAGTCCCGGTTTCAGTTTCCACTAGGCCCTTGTGGCTAGGGGTACATACCAAAAAAAAAAATTGTATATATAGCATGACCCCGAGTATTTAAAGTGCACTTCATACAGTAACAGTGTCCGTGGGAGAGTGACATCTTTCCTTTCTACTTTCCGAATTTTCTTTATTTAAAAATCAGAGTACTACTTTATTAAGTGTTATTTTATACAATATGAATATCAATATAATTATAATTGTAAAAAAAAATGTATATCAAGGATGACCCGATTTTCAGATTTCCAAATTAGAGTCAACTGTACTTTTACACTGAATGGTCTTTGCAGTAAGCCCAAAAAGAGCAGCATAAAAAAGAGTGTCCCTGTGGCCCTTTTATTTTTGATGATCAAGAGTTTGTTAGAAAAGCAGCTGCGGAATTGTCACCTACGGTCTGAGGCACTAGAAGCAGAAGAGTCGGTCTCAGCAGAAAAATGCTGAAAAGCAAGCTAGACAAAAGGAAAAACAAGGACGTGACCAAAGGCTGCTGCCAAAGCTGCCTTAATAGGCACCTGCACTGTCTGCAGGACACGGAGGCCACATTTTCTTCAAGAGCATATTTGTCACTGTAACCAAAGAGGTCGTTTCATTTGTAAGATGTCTACTACTTGGCAAACTGAGTTCAAAGAAAGTAGTGGTGTGGAATGTACATGGTGGGACAAGGAGGACGTTTACACTGAAATTATGCATTTGGATACATAATGTTCCTCATAGAAAAAATGTAAAATACAGAAAACATAAAGGTGGAGACTTAAATGACCAGATTCTAACCATTCACAGATACTTAGTCAATCTTAGAACAGAATCGGGCATAGGCTGTTTAGAAACAACAGTCCTTTGCAGTACAGCAAGGTCATCAGCGTAATTTGCTTAGCAAGTGTGAGCCTATTATGTGCCAAGCCTGTTACATCAGAAGCGTGGCTCGCCCTGGCCGGTTTGGCTCAGCAGTTAGAGCGTTGGCCTGAGGTTCCCGCACCTCATGGTAAGGGCACGTACCATGGTTGCAGTTTGTCCCCGGCCCTGGTTGGGTCGTGCGGGTGTCAGCCACTCAATGTGTACCTTTCACGTCGATGTTTCTCTCTCTCTCTCTCTCTCTGTCTCTCTCTCTCTCTCTCTGTCTGTCTCTCTCTCTCCCACTCTATCTGAACAAAAAATGGAAAAATGTCCTCAGGTGAGGATAGAAAAAGAACCGTGGCTCTCTGAACAGAGGACAGAGAATACTAAAAGGGCAATTATTGGTCTTTGGTTGCCAAACCTACTTTCTCACTTCACAGGATATCGACAGCTCGGTAACTTGGACTCCCTTTGGGCAAACAGCCCTTTCCAGTCCTAGTTCATGTGGTGTGGGTGGGACTGACCCCAATGAACCTAAAGGAAGGATGACCTAGGCTTCAGTCAATTCGCGGAGTCAACATCAAGGGCCACAGTGATTCCTTACTCTAGGCCAATATATGTCAAGTGCAGTAGTCTTGTTAAAGACACTGACAAGAGAGATGGACTCTATCTCTCTGAGCATTTATAAATTAAAAAGAGATGTTAAAAACGCCCTCGGAAGGAAGCTGTGGTGATGAACGGGTTGCGATGTCGGTTCAGCAGACAGTGGCCATGCTCTGTTACTCCCTAGTGCATCATTCCTCCATAGCCCTTCACAAACAGTACTCTGCTCACTGAGGTTTCTGTCTCCCCCAGCCGACAGTCAGCTCTCTAAATCAGCAATTTTCAACCAGTGTGCCACAAGAATTTTTAAAACATGCAATACATGACTATTTAGTCAGGAACACTGACCTCTTTTCCCTTAGATTGTCAAATTAAAAAATGACAACAACCAATACAACAATAGCTGTCGGTGTGAATGTCCTGTCTTAAACCATAAATAAATGTCATATAATAGAGTTGCATCTTACAGTTCACATTGCATAATAAGGTTGCATCTGATTGGTTAATTCGTGGTACCAGAAATCTTTATATAAACTATAGGCACTTGATATTTTTAAAAGACACTTTGGAGCAAAAAGTATAGGTAATTATTATTATTATTATTATTATATTACTATTACTATTATTACTATTTTTTTGTAAATCAAATCAAAATTATACCTCTTTTTTGGTCAGATTGGCAAAAAATATCTATCTTTTTTGGGGGGGTACGTGCCCCTAGCGAGAACCGAACCCGGGACTCTCTGGTCCACAGGCCAACGCTCCAACCGTTGAGCCAAACTGGCCAAGGCAAAAAAAAAAAAATTTCTGGTGTGCCACAGAATTTTGGTAGTTAGTTTGTGTGCCATGAGACAAAAAAGGTTGCAAATCGCTGCCCTAAAGGAAACACCAAGAAGAGCCTGAGCACACACGTGTGAAAGAAACTACCCTGGAAATGCGGCACTGGTGGTTCTATCACTGGGGATCCCGGTTCTGGGCTCCACACCTCCCCTGGTCAATACCACATCCTACATGCCCCACCTTAAATGCTTTGGTTCCTGCTCTGGGCTGAAACAAAGCATCTTCTCTGAGTCATCAGTTGTGGCCACTGTTGTGTCATGCAAAGTGGTCACACAACCACCCAGAGAACGTCATCAGGCAGAAGGGGTGGGGTGGGCAAGCTTTCATAAAAAGCCTTCTAGGATGAAGTACTACAAAACCAGAGGGGACGTCAGGTCACTGAGCCCTCTGCACCTCCTTTCTTTTCTAGGGGCTAGGAGAGCACGGAGAAACCCCTGCAGCTCCCACCTGAGCAGTCTTCCGGGAAGATGTGGCCTTCACTGTTCCTGATCCTGTTGGCCTTTTTGCCACCCCCCGGGGCAGAGGCAGGTGAGTGACATCCCCACCTTCATAAGCCCATCCCACAGTGGACACAGACCTCCCGTCCCTTCTGCACACTCTTGCTCCTTCTATCCTCCAGGAACATTCTGAACCCCAGCTCCCATCCCATCTCAGACCCTAAGCATGACACAGCATAAGCTACCGAAGAAGACAGGGCAGAGGCCTGTTCTCAATAAAAGCCAGTGGACACAATGCCCTTCCCAGGCCCTACCCTTGCCATCTAGAGAGTAAAATTTTCCTAGAAGTGCATGGCAGAGGGTGGGAAAGTGCAGAGGGCAGAGCGGTCCTGGCATACGTGTCTGCAATGAGACGGGCTCTCCTCGGGGTCTGCTTGGCAGAGAAGCTCAGAGCTCAGCAGACACCACAGTTGGTGGGATCACTGTCCCCAGAAGACTGCTGTTGCCTCGGCTCAGACGCAGACACCCTCAGTCCCTTTCTCCAGCTCTGCTTTTCCTCCCAGGCCTTTAGCAGTTCCCCTCTTTAAAGGATGAGCCAGTGTGGTTGGCAACCCCAAACTTCTCTGCTTTCCAGAATCCCACAGCACTGGCCTTACCAGTCATCCTCCAAAGTCCCGTTGGGGGTCTTCCCTTCAGGCAGCCCACAAACGCTTACCAGGCACTCACTGCATGCCAGGCCCTGGGACAGCTTGCAGCATGTAGATCCCTGCAGGGTAGCGCTCTCCTGGACATCACAGTACCGGGGGGCCTCGGACACTCACCCAACAAGCCAAATCAGGAGAGGAATTTTCAGGAGCCTCGAGGCCTTCATAGTGCCTAAGACAGGCATGCTCACGTGCAACTGTGTGGCAAAGTCACAGACCAAGCCTCTTGCTCTTTCTTTTTCCAAATGAGAAAGTTGAAGCCCCTTCCTGCCCCCTCCCAGCTCCAAGCCAGCCCAGGCTCCCAAGTGCCCAGTGTCCTGAGTCATTAAGCTAATGCCTGCCTGGCGGACTCAGTGAGGACACCCAAGTACAACAGACTTTTCCTTCAGGGAAGATCATCGGGGGACATGAAGCCAAGCCCCACTCCCGCCCCTATATGGCCTATGTTCACATTAAAGACAAGACGGAGAGCAGGTGTGGCGGTGTCCTTGTGGAAGAGAACTTTGTCCTGACAGCTGCTCACTGCAAAGGAAGGTGAGGGGCCGCAGCCAGCCTACACCTCCCGAGAGCCTACAGGGACCCTGTCCTTTTGCCACGGGCTGCAACCCAGGGAGCTCCCCAAGCTCCCAGTAACTCAGGCCCACGAGGGCTCATCAGAGGAGCCCTCTGAGATCATGACTGCATGATGAGAGGCTGAGAAATAGAACAGGTACGATGTGGGCTCAGAGGGTCAGAGGTGAGAGCAAGTGACACAGTTGGGAAGAGAGAAACCACACGGGGGAAGTAAAGCAGCGGTGGACGGTGGGCGATGGAGGCACGCATCAGGGTAAAAATGCAAACTCGAGCAATTTCGTGATTGTTGCCTGAGGGCAAGAGAGAGCTCCCAGCTCCCTAGGCTCTGTGTCATTGACAAGCAGACTCACTCAGCCCCCAGCCCCTGTGGTCTCCATGTCCCCTGTCTGCTGCCCTGCCCTGCCCCAGCTGTCCCCTACTCTTCACAGCTCCTGGGCTATATCCCCTGTGACTCCACCCCCCACAGTAACACCCACTCTCTCTGTACAGGTCAATCAGTGTCACCCTGGGGGCCCACAACATCAAGAAGCAGGAGAAGACCCAGCAGGTCATCCTGGTGAAAAGAGCCATCACCCACCCAGACTATGATTCTAGGAAGATCTCCAATGACATCATGTTACTGCAGGTACGAAGACCTCCTGCTGCTCTTGTTCTTCTGATTCCACATTGTTTCCCCTCCACCAGAGACCTGTCCCTTCCTTCTTCCCCATCCTGGCCACCTGGCCAGTCCCTGTGGCTCAGGTGTCCCTTCAGGGGCCACTGGCTGACCTGGGCTCCCTTGCCTTTTCCCCATCAGCTAGAGAGAAAAATCAAGAAAACGAACGCTGTGAAGCCCCTCCACCTACCCAGGAGCAGGACCTGGCCGAGGCCAGGACAGGAGTGCACTGTGGCCGGCTGGGGGCGTGTCGCCCCTAAGGGCAGGCTCCCAGACACCCTGCAGGAGGTAGAGCTGACCGTGCAGCCGGACCAGGTGTGCGAGGACCACTTACCCCGTTATTACAACAAGACCATTCAGCTGTGCCTGGGGGATCCGACAGAAAACAAGGCCTCCTTTCAGGTGATACTGAGCATCTGCCTCGTGGGGCTCGGGGGAGAGGGTATAGGTAACAACTAGGACCTGGACGCCCAGGCACTGGGGGACTCCTTCACCCTCCAGGCTGTAATCGTTCTCCTCGGGAGCAAAAGAAGACAGCAGCCAGAGCTGGGAGAAATAGGGCTTCCGAGAGCTTTATGGTCCATCTAAACACAGTGCTCCTCCAGAGGAATGAATCTGCAGCACTCTGGCCTGCGCCAGGGCCCGGTGGTTGGGAAACTAGTCCCTGCGTGTGCAGTGGTTAAAACCTGGTGGCTCCTCACGGGTCCGCATAGGGCCCGGCCCAGAGCGGGTCTGCCTCAGGCCGGCCTATCGCCAGTGGGTTCTTAGCTTCCTGTAGGAAAGATTTCACAACACAAGTCCAGAGGGGTTTGAGAGTGCGTTTATTAATGCTGGAGACGGCGAAACACAGGAGGAAATGCGGGTAGAAGAAACAACCGGGGAGAACCGAGCCAGTGCTCAGCTCTGGCCTCTGGAAATGCCACCGGGAAAGGGAGCCAAGGCGGGGCTGCTGCAGCTCCCTGGGCCTTCAGAGACAAGGGGCCTGGGAGACAGGATCAGGGGGCGAGCCCGGGAAGAGCTGCTGCTGCCCACTGCTCCCCTGGTCACAAGCCTTGTGGGGACCCTTAGAAATACAAAGTTCATGCCCAGGAAGGGGCATGGTGTGCTCTAGAGAGCGCCAGCCTTGAGTCGTTGTCCTGAGGGCCCTTATCCTTTTTTTCTTTTCTTCTGCAGGCAAAACCTTATGGGAGGGTTTCAGTAGGATATTCATCAGCTTTCCAGGTGCATTTTTAATATGCTGATGCATCCAAATGAGCGTATAGGGGAGTTTGGGATTATTCTCTGGTTTTATTTTATCTTAGGTCTGTCTGCCTTTTCCTGGGGTTGTTGTTATTTGTTCCCCAACTTCGTCTGCCCTTGGGTTGAGCTGGCACAAATGGCATTAACCGGGTCTTTGTTCTCTATTTTCCCAGGTCAGGGTGACTTAAGTTATATACTCGCCAGGCAGGGAGGAGGGTATAAACTATTTGCTCTCAACTGTCCTTGGTTAGAGAGAAAGTCTTCTGATTCACCAGCTGGCTTTGAAAAGTTCAAATTTTTCGGCCTTGTTTAATTTTTCTTGACTCGATTTCCCCAGACCCTGGGATTTTCCCAGCTTCTCTCTGTCCTGCCACACAGAGCTGGCGCCCACCTAGGTTAACGGGCTCCCTCTCCACACCAAGTGCCAGCTCCTCCTACCTGCTCTCGGGTCCTTACACGGCAGACTGCAGCCACAGTCCCACCGCCCCTCCCCGAGAGAGGATCGGACCTGAGGGAGCAGGGGGAGCCGCCCCCGGATGAAGGAAGCAGTGACAGAGTCCAGGCTGAGGGGCCCCGGGGGCCGCCCGGCCCCTTATCCCCCGCGTGGGGGCCATTCGGGTGGCCTCCTCTGAGAGGGGCTTGGGGTGGCAGGAAGGGCAGGGCCAGGAGAACTGGCTCAGCGTGTCCCTCTCTCTGCCCACAGGGAGACTCTGGGGGACCTCTCATGTGCAAGAACACGATCCAGGGCATTGTCTCCTATGGAAACAAGAATGGGAAACCACCTCGGGCCTACACCAAAGTCTCGGTTTTCCTGCCCTGGATTAAGGAGACCATGAGAAGCCTCCAACGGCAGGAACTAGACGATCTTCTCTGGAGCTAATCGGGGATCGCATTGAGGGGGTACAGGGGTGGGGTGTTGCCAGCCACTGAATAAATGTCTTTGAGCAGATAGAAAGAGCTGGGTTTTTTATTCTTTGGCTCATTCACCAGCTCTGTGCTGAGAAGGTCGGTGGCACAATTCGGCTGTGTTCTGCTTCCTCCTCTTCCCTTCACCCCCGCCTCCCCAACCCCATGAAAAGCTGTTACCCAGCTCCTTCTTAGCCACACCTGTGCCTGCAGGGCCTGCCCTTCTGCCAGGGCAGAGCCAACCACCATTAGGAGAAAACATGAACCCCGCAGGTCCTGGGCTGGGCCTGAATGTCTTACTTCTTCCCCTGTGTCATGTGGCAGAGAGGAAGGAATAATACCGAGGGTGCTGGACGCCGAGCAGGTATGGCCGGGGCTACAGCCCAAGGACCTGGCCACCACGCTGGGGAGAGGGGAGCCTTCCTGTGAGGGACACTTTGCTCCCACAGGCAGGCAGTGGCAGCTGCGGGAGGCGGGGCAGGAGAGAGTGACGTCCTGAGAAGCTCCTCACTCTCTCCTGGGCTGAATTTCTTCCTTGCCCTTTTCTGCCTCCTCTGAGCTCTGGGCCCAGCTTGGCCTCCAGTCTCCTGGTTGCCCCTTCTCCTCGTCCCTGCTGACACTGAGAGTTCTCAGAGTGCACCAACTCCTGTCCCCTGCAGACCACGCTGGTCTGAGCTGGCTGCTTCCACATATCCCTCCCCCAGGACACTCAGAGTCCCAGGTCCCAGCAGGTCCTCATCACTGAGTCGCCACCCTAGCTCATGCCCTGGCAGAGGGTTACTGTGGGACCAGGCCTGTGATGGTACCATGCAGGGCCCTGGAGGACGGGGACGGCCGGGTGTCTCTCCAGAACGCTTGACCGCATCTCTCACTTGGGCAGAGCCCACATCCAGCCCAGTGTCCCCACCATGTGCTCACAGCCTACTGACGTCCTGGTCATCCAGGAGCCTTGACCCTTTTCAGACTGTCCCTCTGAGTCACTGCTGGCCTCTAGGCTCAGGCCCCCTGCTGGCCACCATGGGCTATATCAGCCTTTTGAGTTAGAAAGGGCTCCTCTCTCTCCGCAGTAGAACTGGAAGTCACAATTTTCCCATCAAGCAACAAACAAACGCTGATTGAGCACCGACTAAGTGCCAGGCCCGGGGGAGACACAGTGAACAGGTGCAGGTTCTAACCCCAGACGCAAGCAAAACTGACAGTGTTGACTTGCATGTGAATCTAACTCCCCCTCCCTCCTTCACTCGGGTCTCATGGCCTGGATTTGTGGGAAGCCCACAGGAGTAACTTTTTGTGTTTTATTCTTATTGCTGATTACACTCTGTTTCAGTGTTATCACTTGTGACTCCAGAACAGCAGTGTACGAGATTTGGACATGACTTTAGTTCTTTCTTTTCTAGACGTTCAGCTACCAAAGTGTTCACTGGAAGAGGGCAGCAGGGCTTGGGGAGCGGGCAGGGCGGCAGCCTCATTTCCATGTGCCATAAAGGTACCAGATGTAGTTGATCGCAACATGGATGGACCTAGAGGGTATTATGCTCAGTGAAATCAGTCAGCCTGAGCAAGACAAATGCCATATGATTTCACTTCTATGTTTGAATCGAGAGAACAAAATAAATGAGCAAACATTAATGAACATCTGTAACAAAAATAAATTAGTCAATGAATAAATAAAAATGGAAACAGACTCATAAATACAGAGACCAAAATGATGGCTGCCAGAGGTGAAGGGATTTGGGGGACTGGGTAAAAAAGGTGAAAAGACAAAAATGTACAAAATTGGTAGATAGAAAATAGTCACGAGGATGCAAAGTACAGCACAGAGAATACAGTCAATAATAATGTAACAACCATGCATGGTGCCAGGTGGGTACTGGAAATATGAGGGGAGACACTTTGTAAAGTATATAGTAATCTAACCACTATGCTGTACACCTGAAACTGATACAGAATACCACTGAAAGTGAACTGCAATTGTAAAACAAAATGTAACACAAAGTAATAGTAACAGGTATGAATGACATTGTACAGAATGAAATGGTAGGAAAATCATGTACTGTATCTGCCAGAGGGCAATTAGAGTGATTCTGAACCCGCACCCAGTCGGACGGGCCACCCGGGCCACCGCACGGTCCCTGCCAGCCCTGTGCACAGCCAGACTGGAATCGGGGAGGCTCAGGTGGTCAGGGAAGTGGAGAAACGCCTCTGTCTTTACGCCATCATGGTTGCTGCTCCATTCGTTGTTTCTAAGATCACCTACAGTTTTCAATGTTAGGAAGTTCTTGTCTAGGAGGCCACACATGAAGAATGTGATATATTTGCAAAGGTCTCCCTGTGTTGGGCTCATCTCACCAGATGCTCCCAGCAGCCATCCCTCCACATCTTGCCACTGACAGGACACTGCCTGGGAGCTGACCTAAGCCCCAGCGCTGGGCCGACGCCGGCCTGCCCCCAGGACACGCAGCCCGCTTGTGTGACATGGGGCAAATGCTCGGGGCTCCGCCAGCCTTCGAAGGCCTGGCCTTTCCCATCGAGTTGCACACAGAGCATCCAGCAACACAGTGTCTCCACGGCCGCGAGCACGTTTACGGGGAAAGAGCAGTCTTGTCCCACAGCCACTGATGTGGAGCTGAAAAATTAACAGAGTCCCTGCCTCTAACATTCATAAGGACCTATTCAAAAATACAAAAAGGGAAGGGTAGGAAGCTAAATAAAACTAATATCGTAAAAGTGGCCCGGCCGCATACTCCTTCAAGTACAACATTTACTTTGAGGAAATGATTCTGTGGTTTAAGACAAGTTTGAGAACCGTACTCTAGGCCCTCGTCCTCTTTTGGAACCAAATCCCAGGACCGTGCGGCGGCGGACTGAAGGTACCCCAAAGCTAGAACAGAGCCGGGACCGAGCCAGCACCCCTGAGGGCCAGGCCAGCAAGAGGCCTTGCGTGTTTTCTAGCGCCGACCCTGGGAGGACTTCCTGGCCTCCCTGAACGAGAAGTGAGCTTCCGGAGTAGGAAGAGGTGAGGCTTGCAGAGGAGATGGCCGCGCTCGGCCCACTGCCTCCGCTCCCACCACAGTTTGAGAGCACACAGCATCATCTGAGGACGGCTCAGGAGTATGACAAACCCGACCCCGTTGTGGCCTATTACTGTCGTTCATATGCCATGCAGACTGGAATGAAGATTGATAGTAAAACTCCTGAATGCCGCAAATTTTTATCAAAGCTAATGGATCAGTTAGAAGCTCTTAAGAAACAGTTGGGTGATAATGAAGCTGTTGCTCAAGAAATAGTTGGTTGTGCCCATTTGGAGAATTGTGCTTTGAAAATGTTCTTGAATGCAGATAACGAAGATCGGGCTGCCAGATTTCACAAAAACATGATCAAGTCCTTCTATACTGCAAGTCTTTTAATAGAGGTCATGACAGTGTTTGGAGAACTAACTGATGAAAATGTGAAACACAGAAAGTATGCAAGGTGGAAGGCAACATATATCCATAATTGTTTAAAGAATGGAGAGACTCCTCAAGCAGGGCCTGTTGGAATTGAAGAAGATAGATGTTGAAGAAAATGAAGACGTTGGAGCAACCTTTCTGCCCACTCAGCCATCATCTTCAACTTACGACCCCAGCAACATGCCATCGAGCAGCTCTACTGGAATACAGATTCCTCCCGGTGCACACGCACCAGCGAATACACCAGCAGAAGTGCCACACAGCACAGATGTAACAAGTAATACTATCCAGCCTACTCCACAAACTATTCCGGCCATTGATCCTGCACTTTTCAGTACAGTTTCCCAGGGGAATATCTGTCTAACACCTGAGGACTTTGCTCAAGCTCAGAAATACTGCAAATACGCCGGCAGTGCTTTGCAATATGAAGATGTCAGCACTGCTGTGCAGAACCTACAGAAGGCCCTCAAGTTACTAACTACAGGCAGAGAATAAAACCTTTGTACAGCAGATCCATGCATCTTTGGCTTAAAGAACTAACAGTTCATTACGCTGTATCTTCCGACTATCAGGAGCACAGTTTTAAGGAAGACTTCAGTTCCATTGACGATAACAATGAAATCTGTGTCTGAGTGTCAGATTCCCGTTGAAGCATTCAGCAGCAGCCTCAGCCAGTTTTCATTGCCCATTTAGTGAATCCATTAATCTCTGGGTATTTAACGAGGTCCTAAAAATGCCCATTGAACCCTGCCTCAGAAAATGAAAATACAGTTCCATAAAATGTATTGGGAATAAGCTTTGTATCTTAATTTACATAATTTAAGGAATGTTTTCATCTATGATGTGGACAAACAGATCACAGTACTTTGCTATAAAATTCTAAATTTAACTGTGATAGCCAGAATATTCCAGATTAGAGATCATGGTTTTTGTTTTCCTCAGAACTTATAAGACAAATATGAACATCCTAAATTGTTAGATGAATTCGAAAGAGATTGTGTTCAAAATTCAATGTTATATTCATGTTATTGTTGTAACCCAGGAGAATCAACCTCACTCGGACACAAAGTAATTTTGAATATTAGGAGCTTTATTACCTGCGCAAGGACAGCAGCCAACCTACACAGAGGAGAACTGCAGCCCCGAGCTCAGGGGGAGGGTTGCTTATATAGGGCAGGGGTCATTCAAGAGTTTAGCAGAGCAAGCAAGCTGCGTGTACAGAAGCGGAGGCAGTTAGCGATAAGCAGGAGGGAACGGAGGTGGGAGGGAGCTGAGGCGAAAGGGAACTGGGTGAACTGGGTCAGCACACATCTATCCTGCTATTCATTCTATTATCTAAGTTTTAAAAACTAACAAATTCGAGACGGATATCAGCGGTTAGCCAGGTGCAATACACACATGTTGAACAGTTACAGTTTTATGGGGTAAAGGGAGCTTCAGTTTCTCCCTGTCAGTTTCTTTACAGAGCATGCAGGACACTCTGGCCTTGGGGCCGTTTCTGTCCTCCCTTTTCCTGAAGGATGTTGCTTTTCAAATTCCCAGTGAAGGTCAAACTCTCGTTAATTTTTATGGGGCTAAAGCCCTCTACAACATTCCCCATTGTTCATCTTGCTGACCCTGAGGTTGTTAATTAGGGCAGCTCAAAGACAAGTTGTTTTTCTTTATTGGATTCTAAGGACAGTGAGCTACAACATTATAACTACATTAAAACTTAAAATTTTCATAGAAAAGAAGGTGAAGAGGTAGAATCACTTTTAGACTTAAGAAGAATGTTGGTTTCCCAACTGCTTTCCCGTATCCATTGAAGCTTAAGGTGAATTGGTATTTGCTTCGTAGGCAGCTTGACTGCATGTGTTAGAGAATGAGAACACAGCTTTAGTAATGCCTGGAAACTAGGTGCGTTACGTTGAGATTCTCCTCTGCTGCTACGGAATGGATTCTCTAGAGTGTATAGCAATGACGCCGAAGCTTATAAGAGACTAGATTCTCAGTTGTTACATGTATAAGTTTTGGGGGAATTTGGGGCTTAATGTGTCACCTGCATTTGTGCTGTATAAAAAATAAATGCAAGGATTCTTTTCACTGGTTCAACTTACAACAGAAAAAACAAAGAAAAAAGAAAGAAAAGAATCGAGCTTCTGCTCACACACCTTCCGGAGAGAAAGCCTCTGCGCTCCCCTGGCAGCCGTTCTGTGACCTGCATTCAAAACACGACCCTTGTGGAGCCCACGTCCGCCGTGGGAACACGGTCATGGGCGCGTAAGCACTTAAAGCTGCCGATACCTTCCAACTCCTCTGTCCGTGGCAGTGTCCTTCCACCTCCCACCTCCCACCGTTGAGGAAACAATCCTTCCCTGTTCATAAATCTTTGTGAAGAAAAATGTTAAAATATCTTTCTCATGCCTCCGCTCACCTAGACCCACTTTCACCACCCCTTCCTGGCTCCAAACCCCCGAGAAGAGCCAGGGCTCAGCGTGGCTGGGAGGTAAGTGCACAGCCCGTCCCCACGGTGGAGCCCGCGGGCCCGAAGGAAGGCGAGATCGCGAACCTGTGTGCTGGGAGCGGGTACGGGCTCGGCTCTGCCCCTCCTGCCCATCACCCTCCATCCGCCCGCACCACTCTCTGCAGACTTACGACACTCAGCAGGGTTTATTCCCAGTCTTGGTATCCCACACAACACCACACTTGAACACAAATTAAATGTGCCTATTAGCTTGGTACAAAGATGTCCGAAATACAGTCCTTCTCTGGACAGTGCTGTGAATGGCTTCCAGGCATTCATTGCCCCTTCACAAGAGGGTAATTATTGGGAGAGTCAACCCTTTCCATTCTCCATACACGTGGTTTGGACAGAGCAGACCCAACCTCTCCAAAGTCTGTGACCTAGGCTCCCAGGGGCCAGCGGTTTATAACCCTCTGACCAACTCTGCGTGTACCCAAAGCAGGGGGCAGATCGTGCTTCGCTCTCTCTCCCATGTCTCCCCTGTACCACAGGCTATTCTTACCTGACGGCAAGCTCTTTCTTTCTTTCTTTTTTTAATTTAATTAATTAATTTATTTTTGTTACAGATGTTTTTACTTTTACGCCACTGATTCTCCCCTTCCCCTCCCTCGCTGCCCTGTCCCCGGCTTTGTTGTCCATGTCCATTGTTCATGCACACATGCATATAAGTTCTGTGGTTTATCTCTCCCCCACCACCCCCTCTTCTGGGGATTGTCAGTCTGTACCCCACTTCCACGTCTCTAGGACTACCCCATTCCTCAGACTGTTAAGTTCATTATATTCCACAAATAAGTGAGATCATATGATACTTGAGTTTCCCTGTTTGGCTTGTTCCCTTAGAATAATATTTTCCAGGTCCTTCCATGTCATCTCAAAGAAAAAGAGATATTTCTTTTTGACAGCTGCATAGTACTCCATTGTGTATATGTACCACTGCTTTTTTATCTATTCGTCTACTGATGGACATTTGGGCTGTTTCCAGATCTTAGCTATTGTAAATAGTGCTGTTATAATCATGGGGGTACATATATTCTTTCTGATGGGTGTCTCAGGCTTCTTAGGGTATATACCTAGAAGTGGGATCACTGGGTCAAATGGAAGTTCAATTTTCAATTTTTTGAGGTACCCCCATATTATTTTCCTTAGTGGCTGCACCAGTCTGCATCCCCACCATCAGTATACTACAGTCCCCTTTTCTCCACACTCTTACGAACACTTGTTGTTTGATGATTTGTTGATGGCGACCATTCTGACAGGTGTGAGGTAATACCTCATTGTTGTTTTAATTTGCATCTCTCTGATGACTAGTGATGATGAGCATTTCTGCATATGTCTCTTAGCCATTTGTATGTCCTGTTTGGAGAGGTGTCAATTTAGTTCCTCTGCCATTATTTAATTGGGTTCTTTGTCTTCCTTTTGTTGTGTTGTATGAGCACTCTATATATTTTGGAAATTTACCCTTTGTCTGATTATCATTGGCAATTATGCTCTCCCATACAGTGGGTTGCCTTTCCATTTTGATGATTGTTATCTTTTGCTGTGCAGAAGCTTTTGATTTTGATGTAGTCTCATGTGTTCATTTTCTCCTTTGATTCTGTTGCCATAAGGGATGTATCAGTGAAAATTCTGTTGCGTATGATGTCTGAAATTTTGTTGCCTACATTTTCTTCTAGGATTTTTATGGATTCATGAGTCACATTTAAGTCTTTTATCCATTTTGAGTTTATTCTTGTGTATGGTGTAAGTTGATGGTCTAGTTTCATTTTTTTGCATGTAGCTGTCCAATATTCCCAACACCATTTATTAAAGATGCTGGCTTTACTCCACTGTATGCTCTTGCCACCTTTGTCAAATATTAATTGAGCATATTGCCTTGGGTCAATTTCTGGGTTTTCTGTTCTGTTCCACTGGTCTATATGCCTGTTCTTGTGCCAGTATTAGGCTGTTTTGATTACAGTGGCTTTCTAGTATAACCTGAAATCTGATAATGTGATCCCTTCAACTTTGTTCTTCTCTTTCAAGATTGCTGTGGCTATTCAAGATCTTTTTTGGTTCCATGTGACCTTTTGAAGTATTTTTTCTAGTTCTGTGAATGATGTCGTTGGTATTTTGATGGGGATTGCATTGAATCTATAGGTTGCTTAGGGTAGAATGGACATTTTAATGATGTTAATTCTTCCAACCCATGAACAAGGTATGTGCTTCCACTTTTTTATTTCTTCCTCTATTTCTTTTTTCAATGACCTGTAGTATTCTGCAAAGAGGTGCTTTATATCTTTAGTTAAGGTTATTCCTAGCTATCTTAATTTTTTGCTGTGAAGGTAAATGGGATTGTTTTTTTTTAGTTTCTCTTTCTGTGAGTTCATCATTGGTGTATAAGAATGCCATCGATTACTTGACGTTAATTTTGTATCCTGCTACTTTGCCAAATTCATTTCAGTCTAGTAATTTTTGATGGAGTCTTTGGGATTTTCTACGTATAGTATCATGTCATCTGCAAATAATGACAGTTTCACTTCCTCCTTTGCAATTTGGATCCCTTTTATTTTTTCTTCCTGTCTGATTGCTGTGGCTAAGACTTCCAGTACTATGTTAAATAAGAGTGGCAAAAGTGGGCATCCTTGTCTTGTTCCTGTTCTTAAGGGAAATGTTTTTAATTTTTGCCCATTGAGTATGATGTTGGCTATAGGTCTTTCATATAAGGCCTTTATTATGTCGAGATATGATCCCTTTATTCCCACATTACTGAGGGTTTTTATCAGAAATAGATGCTGGATTTTGTCGAAGGCTTTTTCAGCATCTATTGATATGATCATGTGGTTTTTATTCTTCATTTTATCTATGTGATACTGTGGTGTATCACATTTATTGATTTGTGGATATTGTACCAGCCTTGCATCCCTGGGATGAATCCCACTGGTCATGGTGAATAATTTTTGTGATGTATTGCTGGATCCGATTTGCTAGTATTTTGTTCAAGATTTTGGCATCTATGTTCATCAGGGATAGTGGCCTACAGTTTTCTTTCTCCTTTTTTTT